AAAAAAAAAAGCTTGCTATCTAGGGAATATTCCCTAGCCACACTGAGCAAAGACCGGGAAGAGAAATGCAGATTTGCTTTATATATCAAATGAAACATTTAAAGTTTAAATACAGTTCTGAAAAGTCAGATATTTGAACTTCCACAGTGCTTTTTATAAGCAGTTTGGATAAAATTAGCATATTGTATGACTGGCTTTTAGATTAATTAAAACATCTCTTATTTTACTTATATTCTCTGCTCTAGTCTAGAAATAAAGTAGACATAAAGAAAAATTACCCCTTTGGAATTACACAAAACCTTATTCAGCCAAATCAAAAGTAGCACAAGATACAAGAAGATTAGAACTGTTTCCTTCAGTTAATAAAAGTATTCTTGCAAAGTTTAAAAAAGACCAGTATCAACTGCTTGCCTATTGACAGTTTCAGCAATTTAAATACTTTCCAAATGCTAGATTAAAATTTTTCTATGTGAATTCAATATAGAAAGATTTTAGTTGACCTATACCATAGCCTAGATAATAATACAGTATAATTCTGTAGTTCTGTTTTATGAAACATCATAATTATTTTTGTATAGGTCTGATTTCTCCTATCAGTTTCTTGTGGGCACAAATTACATTTTACTCCCCTTTGCATTTCCCATAGCACCAAGTAAATGCCTCATAGGTACTAAGATATTTTTTAAAAGAGAATTTTCACTAATAGAGAAAGGAAACATATTTTTAAAAGTCAAGGTATTTCTAGGAACAGGAGACACTGCTTGATTCTGGGGCTAGCAGAGTGACTGTAAGTAAGAAATGCAAAAGAAAAACAAACTGCTATGAAGGTTAGCTATCACTTTATTATTCCACATTTGGAGTATTCAAATCAGTCTTCTGGAGGACTTCATTATGGAAGTTGTGTCTGGAAATCAGACACAAAGAGGAACAATTACTCAAGAGTGATTTGCTTTATGGTCAAATCTTATAGACTTGTCTAAACTAGCCAAACACAGAAAGCAAACTGTTTTCAACAGAAATATAAATATTGTATCCAATTTTTCAGATTAGGAAAAACAGTGACTCAGCACATATATATACATATATGTATGTATGTATGTATATAGTAGAATCATGGTAGTATATATGTATATTTACATTTATATGTATATATTTATATGTATATACATACATATATGTATGTATATGTGTGTGTGTGTATATATATATATATATTACCATGATTCTACTATAAGGAAGAAAGGCAACAATTCATTTCCCATTTTTTAATGTTAACCTTTAAATATGTTGATTTTTTAAATAGTCAATGAGGAACCTACAGATCATGAGCCAACAGGTCTTAAATCCTTTGTGAAATCAGTTATTTGATGATAATAATAGTATGGACTGGCCTGAATAAACAAAAAGGTTATCTTACCTGCATCTCTCGTCTCATAGGGTAGGTCCATTCCTTTAAATAGAAAGAAAACCCAAGAACAAAAATAAATAACATTATGAAAAATGTTACCCAATTAAAAGTTTAAGATGTGACATACAAGTGTATGGATTAAAAAAAAAATACATTATACTTAAAGAATATTCTATGAATAGATTCAATTGGCTTCACAAACACCTAAAAATTTAAGTGCAAGAAACAATGATTAAGGTATTCTTTAGGTAACTGGGCTTCCAAAATTATGATTATGTTACTTCATACAACGGATAGAATAGCTCATTAACTAAAAGAACGGATATTCCAGAAATTTCTCCCAAAAACTGATCCACCAAGTCAGAAATGTCAAATAGCTTTTTGTCATTCAGTTAACTCTAATCAACTAACAGTAGATAGCTAAAACACTGTGAGCAAAGACTCTGGAAGAAGAGTACTCTGATCAATGAGCAGTATCTGCAATGGACTCAAAGAGTGTTAAGTAATAGGTATTTGCCATCCCTGATCTAAACCTCTAGATGCTTATCAAACAGGCTTTCTCATACATTACTTCATCTTAAGATTCTTTCAGTTCAATTCCTTTTAAATATACATTTCATGGAAGTAAAGAATTCATCCTGTTTTTTGGAATGCAGATCAATATAAACAAGTTGGAAAATAATGCAAAATGCCAATGGCAAAAGACAGAAAACATTTTAAAAGTTGGGACAAGAAAAAAGCAATTCCAGTGAACTGATATGATAAAGAATCAAATCCTCATTTGTAAATGGACTGCATTCCAAGTTTCTAACCTGACTGCTTAAAACTCAAAATTATAAATAGAAATGAGCTTCCTAAAGTTAAAACTGGAAAAGCTTTAAAAAAAAAAAACAAAAAAACACTTTTATTTTCAGATGAAAGGGATCAAAGGGTATAAGCTTCCAGTTATAAAATAAGTTATGGAGTTGAAAAGTACAGCATAGGGAAGATAGTCAATAATTTGGAATAACTTTGTATGGTGACAGAAGTTAACTACATGTATCAATGTGAGCACTGCGTAATGTACAGAACTGTCCAGGGGTCCCTTGCTGGCTCAGTTGGTAGCATATGAGACTCTTGATCAGGGGGCTGTAAATTTAAGCCCCACACTGAGTGTAGAGATTACTTAAAAATACAGAAATGTCCAATCACAATGTAATACACCTGAAACTAATATAATGCTATGTCAAATATACTTCATTTAAACATTCATTTAAACAGATAAAACCTTTTTCATTTTTAAATAATTTTAGAACTACAGAAAAGTTAAAAATAGTGCAAGGAATTCCCCTTACCCTTCGCCTAGATCTTCTAAATTAGAAAAGTATTTTTAACACATAAGGTATAAATATTATATACCTGTAATGGAATTCCATCTTAGCTAGGATGCAATGGGGAATACCCCTATCAGAAGGGTGGCAAGCTATCAGCAGATGGGAGGAGGGGGAAGAGGGAAAAGCAAGGAAAGCAGGAAAGAATGTGGTGTTTTGCAGAACAAGCAGCTATGGCTAGGTGTTCCACCAGAGTTACCTCCTTGCATGAGCCAGTTTGACCCAGTTTGGAGCTTTTCACCTATGTAGAAGTGCCCCGAGTTGCCCTTAAAGTTACCTTTAGCTCATTATAAGACTAAGATCTCCTACGGGCAAGGTTCTCCAACCATTTTTTGAAAATACAATGTATGCACTAGTATGTTGACATACTTAAGCATGCAAAGTTGAACCCAAGAGCCTAGGTAACAAAATATATGTAAGTTCCTTAATGTATCAAGCATCCTGGCTCTGTTTCCTAGCACACTGAACAAAAGTTTCATGCATGAACCCCAAGGGGAGACAGTGCTTTGAGAGCCATTTCCCTGTCTCCTCACCTGTGACAAGTAATAAAAACTCTTTGCTTTCAACACTTCCTTGGGTTGTGTTCAATTTAATGTACCCCAAGCAGCAAACTTCTTGAGTCTGGCTACAGAAAAGACAGAATAGTACTCCTGCAATGACAACCAGCATTTTTTTTTTTTTTTAATAAAGAAGAGAAACTAAGTATTTTTTGTTTTACATGTTGAAAATGGATCTTGGCAATGTAGCAGAAATAGACTATAAACCTGAGAAGCCATATCCTGAGAGGATCTACTGATCTTTCATGGCCTTATTATCTTCGTTCTTTTAAAATGGGAGTATAAAAGAACACAGAATGAAGTGTTAAAATGCCCAAACATGAACGTAGAGCTCAATGAATTTTTACAAGCAATATATCCATGTAATCACCATCCAGATCAAGATTTCTGTCATCCCAGGAAGTTCCCTCCTTTCTCTTCTCAGTCAAAACCCTCTCTTTCAGAGGTGACCACTGACTTCTATCAATATAGATTCGTTTTAGCTATTCTTGAACCAAATATAAATGGAATCACAACAGTACTATTTTATGTCTGGCTTCTTTCACTCAGCCTAATGCCTGTGAGATTTATCCATGTTGCATGCTAGTAGTTTGGTCCTTTTTATTGCTGTGCAGTATACTATTGTATGAATATTCCACAATTTACTCATTATCCTGTTGGTGGAGATTTAAGTAGCTTCAGGGTTTGGGCAAATAAGAATAAAGGTGCTATGAAAATTATTTTATGTTCCCCTTGATACACACATGCATTTCTTTCTCTTAGATATAAAAGTAACAATGGAGGAGCACCTGGCTGGCTCAGTCAGAAGAGCATGCGACTCTTGATCTTGGGGTTGTGAGTTCAAGCTCCACATTGGGTGTATAGATTACTTTAAAAAATAAAATCTTTAAAAAAAAAAAGTAGCAATGGAATTACTAGGTCACAGAGTAGGCCTACTTTTGGGTTTACTAGACACTATCAAAAGTTTTCCAAAACCAATTTACACTCTCACCAGCAACATATGGGAGTTCTGTTCCACATCCTCACCATGGCCTTAATTTAAATGACACTGTACATGTGAGACATAAGACAAAGCCTAGGACCTGATCAAGAGGGAAGTCAGATCAACACCAAAAAGCAACACTCTCAGTGGATAAACACTCTCAGTAAATGAGAAACACTCAAAAGGCAACACTCTCAGTGAATGATAAACTGGGGAGGTTGGCAGGGAGGGTGGGGGATGACTCACCTCATCCCCAGTAAATGAGTACCTTTGCCTTTCTGAGCTTTGGCTCTGAGTAGAATGTGGTAGTAGTGGTGGCCACAACCTGGCCTTTGCTCAACTTTGGCATTAGAATTCAATTATTTTTGTTAGGTCAAGTGAAAATTGAATGTCAAGTGGTCCTGGGTAGATCATGTCCATGGGTTCTTGGAAAAAACAAATGCATTTTCTCTCTGGAGAAGAATACCCTAAACCTAGATCAGAAATAATTCACAGAGATGAATTCCAATGAGCTCACAATTAAGAATCAAATTTTAAGAGGAGGAAAATACTGGTTTAAGCGGCAGACTTCGGCTCAGGTCATAGCTCAGGGTTTATGGATTTGAGCCCCACGTGGGGCTCTGTGCTAACAGCTCAGAGCCTGGAGCCTACTTTGGATTCTGTCTCCTCTCTGCCACTCCCCCACTCGTGCTCTGTCCCTCTCTCCCTCAAAAATAAAAATAAAACATTAAATAAATAAATAAATAAATAAATAAATAAATAAATAAATAAAATCAGTGGATAGACTAAACAGTAGACAAAGAGAGAACTTGTGTACTGGAAAATAGAATTGAAAAAATGATCTAAATTCAGTGTTGGAAAATATGATCAGTTAATAGACTTATTAAGATTGAATTAAGAAGTCTAACTTCCATAAAATCTAAGTTCCAGAAGGGAGAGAAAATAAAGGAGAGATAATATTACACAAGATATTAATAAGAATTTTCCAAAACTGGTTAAAGACACCACACCCCAGAAATAAGTAGCTCAACAATTCCCAAGCAAGATAAAGGAAAGAAATACAAAGTTAAATAGAGCACACCACACATAAAGAGAAGAAATTCTTTTTCCACACTAAAAGCAAAGAGAGAAATGGAAAAGAACAGAGTCCAAAAGACCTTCATATATGCACTCAATTTTCCTGAAAGATAACAAGGCATTTCAATGTAGAAAAAAAACATCTTTCAACAAATGGTGTGGGAACAATTAGACAAATATCTAGAAAATAAATCTTGATCTTGACCCCTCATCACCCCCCACTCTAAACCCTCCTCACATACAAACATCTTGTCTTCATTGTTGTATGTATTCCCAACATTTGATGACAGTGCCTGGCACACAGTAGGCACTCAATACATATTTGTTGAATAAATAGGGGGAAAAAAGGTGTATGTGTATAAATATATATAAATGCAAAAATGATAAAACTTCTAGGAGAAAACAATATCTTTGCAACCTTGGGAAAAGCAAAGATGTCTTAAAGAGGGCACAAAAGGTACTAAGCATAAAGGAAAAAAATTTTGATAAATTCGCTTTCATGAAAATTAAAAACTTCTGCTCAATGAAATACACTGCTAACAGATCAAAAAAGCAAGCCACAAACTGAAAGAAAATATTTGTAATTTATATACCCAACAAAAGACGTATATCCAAAATACATAAATATGCATCAACAATAAAGTGACAACCCAATTTTTTAAATGGGAAAAGAACTAACAGACATCCCACCATGGAAGGTATATAAATGGCCAACAGCACATGCAAAGGTGCTCAACATCACTGGTCATTAGGGAAATTCAAATTAAAAACACAAGATACCACTACACAACCACTAATGGCTAAAGTTAAAAACACAACACCAAATGTTAGTGATGATGTGGAGCAACTAGGAGTCTCAACATTGCTAACTGGAGTGTAAAATGAAATGATAAACATACAGCTACCCTATATAATCTAGCAATTCCACTCCTAGGATTTAACAGAGAAATAAAAACGTATGTCCACAAAAAGACTTACACAAGACTATTTAAAGCACCTTTATTCATCAACTCCAAAAAACCCAAATGTCTACTGTATATTCATACAATGAAATAA